GTAAATTGGTGGTCTAGTTTTATTTTTTTTGCATATACCTATCTAATTTTTCCAGCACCATTTATTGAAGAGACTGTCTCTGCTACAATTTATGCTCTTGCTTCCTTTGTCAAATATTAATTGAGCATAGTGGTTTGGGTCAATTTCTGGGTTCTTTATTCTGTTCTAATGATCTACATGCCTGTTCTTGTGCCAGTACCAGGCTGTTTTGAGTATAGTGGCTTTGTAGGGTAACTTGATATTTGGTATTGTGATTCTTCCAACGTTGTTTTTCTTTCTCAAGATTGCGGCACCTATTTGCTTTCCTAGCAATATCTTTACTGATACATCTCCTAGGAAAATGGAAACTAAAGAGAAAATAAACAAATGGGACTACATCAAAATAAAAAGCTTCTGCACAGCAAAAGAAACCATTATCAAAATAACAAGAGAGCCCATTACATGGGAAACATATTTGCCAATGATACATCTGATAAGGTGTAATCTCCAAAATATATAAGGAACTCATACAATTCAACGAAAGGAAGACATACAGTCCAATTAAAAAATGGGCAAAGGACCAAAATAGACACTTCTCCAAAGAGGACATACAGAAAGCCAAGAGACATAAAAAAATGTTCAAAGTCACTAATCATTCGAGATATGCAAATCAAAATGACAATGAGATATCACCTCACACCTGTCGGGATTGTTATCATCAGCAAATCAACCAATGACAAGAGCTGATGACGTTATGGAGAAAAGGGAACCCTCGTACACTGCTGGTGGGAATGCAGACTGGTGCAGCCACTGTGGAGAACAGTATGGAATTTCCTCAAAAAATAAAAAATGGAACTCCCATTTGACCCAGTCATCCCACTTCTAGGAATATATCCTAAGAAACCTGAAACACTCATCAGAAAGGATATATGCACCCCTATGTTCTTAGCAGCTCAATTTACAATAGCTAAGATTTGGAAACAGCCTAAGTGCCCATCAGCAGATGAGTGGATAAAAAAACTGTGGTACATCTACACGATGGAATACTATGCTGCTGTAAAAAAGAAGACCTCTTACCTTTTGCAACTGCATGGATGGACCCTGAGAATATTATGCTGAGTGAAATAAGCCAGTCAGAGAAAGATAAGAATCACATGATCTCACTCATATGTGGACTCTAATGAACCAAATAAACTGATGGTCAAAAATAGTCATAGAAACATGAACAGACTGTTGAACCTCAGAGGGAAGGC